AGTATTTGTAAGGATGCTATTATCCCATTCTTTCTTGTGCACCCGGGGGTCCACCCCTGTCAAATTGCCCTCCGAGAACGGAGGAGGGAGGGGTCGACTTTGTTTGGGGGGGGGGGGGGGGGGGGGGGCGGCCGCCCCCGTCGCCCCCCCACCCCCTTGAATCCGCCCGTGATTATAACTGTCACCGTGTCTTTTGTATGATTAATGAGCAGCGTGACTGCGTTTTTTATGGTTCCTACCTGTGACGTCATGAGTAAGATTATCAAAATGTACGACAAGCTCGGTGGCATGTGTGGCAAGCACGGCGGAAGATTGGAATCATCGTGTTCATAAAACTAACACCGTCAACATTGATAGTCAGACGTACACCCCCTTAGGGGGTGGGTGAGGAAATCACTGGAGTACACTTTTTTGACGGATCTGTGAGCCGTTCACGGACCACGCCGCCAGTTGGCTCCTGGGGAGGTGGATTTCAATCGGTGTATCCGCCTGAAAAGAGCTCGTCTTGAGAAAGATGAGTGTATTATTTTAACTACGCTTATTTTAGACAAATGAATCTATCAAAGCTCACCTCTCACTGCATTGTACGGTTGTACATATAGACCAGTGGCGTAGCCGGGATTTTATTTCGGGAAAAGGGGGGGGGGGGGGGGGGGTGGGTTTAACACCTTGCCCCTCCGCACCCCAAGTCATAGCCATCGCAGCCACTCCACCCCCCACCTCCCCCCCCCCCCCTAAAAAAAAACAAAAACAAACAAACAAAAAAAAAACTTGGCTACGTTATTTTAGAGGGGAGATAGCGTATACCTTGCGGTTTACAGTGACTTTGATCGCACCTGTCAATGGAGCTCCCAAGGCGGTTTCCACTTTCCGGCGAAGCCGGCAGACGGAAGTTTCGGGAGGCGGCAAGGTAGGGTTCGCCGAAGTCCAGCGACCCAAGTTTCCGCCCGGCGATCTCGCATCGTGTTTATCGAAGCAAAGCCCGAGGCCCTGAGCCCGTCGGCGGACCCTTTTTCCACGTATGTTTCGTGTGGTTTCGGTCTGTCGACCCCTCTGCAGCCTGCCGGGGATATGAGCGAGCGAAGCGTAAGCCCGGATTGTTTCTGGTAGAAGGTCTCAGGATTGCGATTTTGTTCGCGCAAACAAAGAACGCCATACAAGCGTCCTTTGTTTCTTGCTCGGGTTGACGAGGAACGTGACCGGAATTCATCGCAGCTCGGGATCTATCTCGGACAACAACGGCAACAACAACAAAGTAAATGAGGGGGAATCACGAGACTCGAGGCTTTGACAGATTTATGTCTGTGGGATAGGAGGAAGAGGCACGACAGGCTATTCGAGGAAGAGTGCAAAAAAGACGAGAATCCAATAACATTATTAGCGACGTTAAAGTAGACACATCGACCAACAAGCTGTTTTACAAACAGGCCCGCGTTTGCCCACATCACCTCGCATGCGCAGAAACAAGATTCGAGGGATGTGAACCGTGTGCGCATGCGCGGCACTGAGAGTAGCGCCACCAGCGCCACCGCAGAGGGAGGACAAGGAAGCGCAGGACGTCGCTTTCAAATGCTCAGCCTCCGGAACGCGCTTGTTGTTTTTGCCTTCCGTAGTGCTTTGGTTGCGCGTGCACGCTCGAAGCTAACGAGACGTCGAAGGAGCGGAATGCGGCAAATCTTGGGCGCTGACATCGGCGGTCCGGACTCCGAGAGAGAGAACAAGAAAGAAAGAGACAGAAGGGCGGAGAAATAAAGCAAACGAAATGTTCGGCGTGTTCGTTTTGGCCGCGACGACTTGAAGTTGCTCGAGCGCTTGTCAACTTTATTTTACAGCACAGCTGCACATGACTCGTTGGTCGGGTTTTTTCGTGTCCGTCGACAGAACAGTAGTCGACAGTAAACCATCGCGCGCGCCTTATCTTCGTTCGCGCGCGCCTTATCTTCTATCATGTGCTTTTGACACTTGTTTCAATAAGAAAACCACAAAACAAGTGGCAAAACCACATAACAGATGATAAGGCGCGCACGAAGAATGCGAAGCACATAGCACTCCCCGCATGCGTTTCTTGGTAAAGTTTGCGGTTGCATAAGCTGCCGCGGCAACGGCACACTACCAAGTGGGGAGTGACGTCACTAGCCCCGCTAACCATGCAGAACACGTAGCGCTCCCCGCATGCGTTTGTCGGTAAAGATTTCGGTTGCATAAGCTGCCGTGGCAATGGCAACGTACGAAGTCTTTCATATATAAAACGTTTTGGTACAGTGCATTCACTTTTCTTTCGTCAATCATTGAGACCCTTTGCTGTTGACAAACATGAACGAACGGCCGCTTGCGTCCCAAGCGACTTTCGGTCGCACCGTCTTTGCGACCCTGTTGAGCTTGCTTATGTCACCAGTGCTATAAAAGCATAAATACTACACGGACAACAAAGTTGCAGATTTAACGAGGGCTTTCGACTGTACAATGTTACATCTTGGAGGAGGCAATTTGGTTTTAAGAATACTCGAAACATTTTAACAGATCTCATAATTCTCATGTTCATAATTACCCTACCCGAGGTGCTGAATGTTGGGAGGTGGCTACACCAAGAACAAACTATGGCAAACAAATGCTTAAATACACTCTCCCCAATTTACTCAATTCTTATAAGACTAAAAGTATAGGTTGGGATAAGTTATCCCTAAGAGAAGTAAAATCATCTTTTTTCTCTAGCAGCTGAAGGTAGTTGCCTTTCTTTCTTTGTGATCTTTGTAACTAGTTTTTGCATAATTTTATCTCTGCTGTCTGTCCTGCCTCAATGTAAAAAAGGGGAAAAGAAATCTAAAATTTGTTTTAAAATGTGTGATAGCGACAATCATTGTACAATTTTTTTTTTCTTTTCTCCTCTTGAATATCGTTTTTTCCGGCTCTGTTGCTGCTTTCTGTAGGCGGTCAGGGACCCGTCAAGCTGTACCTGACAGCTTTTTTCCCTGATCGCCACCATCTTATGGTGGAAAATAAACATTATTATTATTATTATTATTATTATCTCGCACTCCTTCGTTCTTTTGGCATTCACCTAGAGAATTGGTGGTTAAACGTTTCATCTACATTTCAAGCAGCGGTGTTAAGGTGGCCTTTGTTCGTTCTTTTTATAAACCGCAAGTTCTCTAGGACGTCAAAGACTGGAGCCCCGCCTGGTGGCGTCTGCCGTAAAAAGGGGCTTGGGCAATCGTTGAAATTGATACCAGTGATACCAGAGCTCCGCTGTCCAACCACCTTCGCAGCGTGGATTGGAGGTGGTTGGACAAAAAATAAACGAACAAACAAGGTACAGATTTTCCAGGCAGTGCTGGTTTCCGGAGATTCCGAGTCAAGAGGTCCAACGAGTCAAAAGATCCAACGCGTCAAAATATCCATTACTGGACCTCCTCACTCGTTGGACCTCTGACGCGTTGGACCTCTTGACTCACCATGGATCTTTCGAAACATTGGATCTTTTGACACGTTGGACCTCTTAAACCAGATTGGATCTCTTGACTCGTGTTTGATAAGTGAGGAGGTCCAACGCGTCAAGAGATTAATATTTATGGACCTTGTGACTCGGTGGACATTTTTACTCGCTGCCCGATCACCGGAAAAAACGGGGGAAGAGCTTGGATGAAGGTCGGAAAAAGAACAAGTGGTAAAGGAACAAAGAAAAGCAAAACAACGATGAATGATGACTTTCAGGTGGCAAGGAGGTGCGTGACGGTCACTGCAGTGCAACGG